GAGAGAGAGAGAGAGAGAGAGAGGAAGAGGGAAACATCAATGTGAGAGAGAAGACCAATTGGTTGCCTCCTGTACGTGCCCCAAATGGGGATCAAACCCACAATCTTTTGGTATACAGGACAGAGTTCCAACCAACGGAGCCACACTGGTCAGGGTGCTTTTTCTTAAAATACTTTCTGAAATACCTTCGGAGCTCCAGATCCTTCTTTTGGGTCACTTCCTTGAGTTCACCCAGCAGGTCTAGCACTTTCCCACTTTCTTCTGAACTACAGACCCCAAGTTCTCCCAGCAGATGGTGTGTGGTCATCAATTCCCTCTGCAAATCATCTGGAGGGGGGTAAGGAGAGGTCATAAGCCAGGGGCTTCAAAGTGCCCCAAGCAATCCAGGCATGAGCTAGGTGGCTAACTAAAGTTTTCTTGATTTATTGAAATGCTCTCAAGGTTAAGAAGAGCTCTAAGGATGAGTCATGAAGGAAGACATCTGTGCACTAGTACCACCTCTGTGCCCCTTTGCCTGAGATCATGACGGCCTGAGACCATGGGTCAGGCGTGTCCGCCATCCAGGCAATCACTAGAACAGACCTGGAATGCATTGTGTCCCCAACAGAAACGAATGCAAAAAAAGTGGAGAAAGCCTGTGCTGTGAGTAATTTAGAAAGAATCCCACGGTTCCTTTCATTCCAGCATCACCTCCCACCCCAGTAAAGTGCTGCCTACAACTGCACTGTGACCCACCTGCTCTAGGAATAGCAGCATGTCTCCAATCCTGGCACATGTCCCATCTACCAGCTAAACATGTACACATATCACAACTAAACATTATAACATTTTGGGAACCTTATAAGGGTTCTTACAAACACACATCCTCTTTCCCCTGATGTGGTCTAAATTGTGTCCTCCCAAAAAGACATGTTCAGGTCCTGATCTCAAGTATCTGTGAATATGACCTTACTGGAAATGAGATCTTTATAGATATAACTGAGTTAGAGTGAGGTCACAGGGTAGGGCCTACTCCAATAACTGGTGCCCTTCTAAGAAGAGTGAAATTTAGATACAGAGGCACTCAAGGGACAAGGCCATGCGAAGATGAAGGCAGAAACTGGAGCAGCGAAGGAAGGCCAAGGGTCGCCAGCAACACAAGAAGCCAAGAGAGAAGCCTGGAATGGACTCTCCCTCAGAGCCTCCAGAAAGAACCAACCATGCCCACACCTTGATTTTGGCTCCTGGAACTGAGAGGAAATAAATTTCTGTTGGTTTAAGCTACCCGGTTTATGGTACTTTGTTACAGTAGCCACAGAAAACTAATGCATTCCTTAATCCCAACTCCTGGCAATTATCTAAGGAACTTCTCAGAAATGGAGTCCAAGAGTTACAGATGTGCCACTGACTGCAATAACTATGCAAAAGGAAAACCAGACACACAATCATTCAACAGGCTCATTTTTCAAGATCCCATGTCAGACATATACTATTTCATGTTGGAAAAGGTTTGATTTTATTAAAAATCATCTCTGTCTGGAAGTTAATCAGTCATTGCTTAGGGCTGGGTAGCGATGGGAAGTGACAGCTAATAGATACTGAGTTTCTTTTTGGGAAACAAAGATGTCCTAAAAATAGAATGTAGTAATAGTTGCACTTCTCTGTGACTATACTAAAAACAATAAATTGTACACCTTAATGGGCAAATGGTATGGTGTCTGAGTTATATATCAATAAAGGTGTTAAAAATTTTTGTTTTAAGTCTCTGAGACTGCCAATACAGCAACACCCTTTGTGATCCTGAACTGCATTTGTGCAAAAGTTCTGCAGGAAAAGCCCACCTGATTTTAGGTGGCAATATTTTGCTACATCAGCTGCAAGCAAAACATATTTAGAGGCTCATGAGAGCTCTGCTTAGAAATAACCAAACTCTAGGGCAGCCGAAAACCTGCTTTGGGAAGATACCTGTTCTAAAGAGAATTTTAAGCTCAAGCACAGCAGTTTTCACACCTGATGAGACCCTTCTGCAGGAAAAGGATCCCTTGGCTCTCTGTAGAAGGCAGGACAGGATGGGGGTCTGCAGCCCTATCACTGCCCCAGTCAACAATGCACCTTTGCAGAGCCCCTCCCAACACTGGGGGATTGCAGGCTGCTCCCCAAGAATGCCTTTCAGCAGGGTGGGAAATAAATGGGGAAACCACAGATCTGGGTTCCAGTACCAGCATGGTCCTTACTTGGGGCGCCACCCTGGACAAACTAGTCTTGCCAGCACCCTGCATTCTCTGCCATTTGAAAGGGAACACACCATCTACCTAAGAGGAGGCTTGTGATGATCACACGAAGGAATAAAGGTGCCGGCACACAGGAAGTGCCAATACCCACTGGCGGTTCTTCCTGTTCCTTGCCCAGCAGAGGCCCCGTTTCCTACCTAAGAACTGCTGCGGGTCTCCGTCTAAATGAACTGATCTCACAGGCAGTTCATGCCTTGTGGTGTCCAGGGCCGCCGCGAATGTCTTGTACTGCTCCTTAAAGCATTCAGACACAGCCTCATAGGGGCTGAGCATCTCAATCTGCAAGAAGGAGGGAAAGAGGCCTATGAGACGAGACCCTGAAGTTACCGCCGTGGAAGTTTCACAGATGCACGTGTGGTTAAGACACAGGCTGTTCTTTCGGGATCTCCTAGGAAATCTTCCAGAAGGTTCAGCGGGTGCAGTAGGCTCTACCCTCACTCCTGGCCGCCCACCTTGCCAAACGCATGCACCCACCTTCCAGCACATTCACTGTGGACCCAGGAAGGCTGTGACCTCCTGCTTTGGAGCACTGAGCTGAAAAGCCTGTCCCACCTCAAGGCCATCCCAACCAACCCCCTTTTCCCTCATACACACTTTCTAGGTCCTCACAGGGCATTGTAAGGATTGTCATTTCTTTTCCTTCCACTCCATGAGGACAGGGACCCCATTCTCAGTCCGCAGCCCGGCCACAACAGGAACACATGCACCACTAGGTGTCACAGGCTGAACTGTGTTCCTCTAACCCCATAAATCCTATGTTGACATCCAAACCACCAACCCCTCAGAATGTGACCTGATTCGGAGACAGGGTCTTCACAGAGGGAATGAAGTCAAGGTGAGGTCATTAGAGTGGGCACCAATCTATATGCCTGATGTCCTTATAAAGGGGGGAGATTGGAGACAAACGTGCACACAGGGAGAACACTAAGAGAAGAGACACAGGGAGAAGACAGCCTACAAGCCAAGGAGAGACCTAAAACACATCCTTCCCTCACAGCCCTTGGAAGGAGCAAACTGCTGACACCTTGATCTCGGACCCCCAGCTTCCAGAACTGAGAAAGAATGTCAGTTGTTTCAGCTGCCCAGTCTGTAGGGCTTTGTTACAGCAACCCCGGGACATGCATACACTGCATGAGAAGCCACATCCCCCGATCGGCCCTTCTAGGTTCCAACAGTTTGCTCCATGACCTTCCTTGGTGTGGATGATTTTGTCCCAGCACTGACCATATGATGCCAAGACTGTACCTCCCACCAGCACCCTGGCCCCCTGGGCAGGCCTGAAGCATGTCATCCTGTCCCTGAGCACAAGCCGTGGGTGCCTGAAGGATATGTGCATGTGTAAGCCGAAAGGACAGGTCCCTATTCTAGGTTAGTACTTCACGTTACAGGCACATTCTCTTCTAAACGGTCACATACCCACACCTGGTGGTGTCAAAAGCCAAGCACACACTCAGAGCCAGGTGAAGAGCGACGACCACTGTAAATAATCCCTCCACACATCACGATGACCCAGTTGAGATGCACAGCTCAGAGACTGTGGCCACAACTGACCTGAGGGTTGAGGACATCCACCAGCTCCCGCTTCCTCTGACAGAGCAGGAGTTTGCGCTTTAGCTGGTGAGACTTTGTTAGGAGCTTCTCCTTCTCTTGGCACATCGTTAATAAATTCCCTTCTGCCTTTTCTTCAAATGCGGCGAGACCGTTCTCCATCTGTTAAGTGCAGAACAAGAGCTCAAGCCCGAGGGGACACCACCTCTTGGCAGATAGAGGCCGGCCTTCCACCCACGTCACACGTGACTGCGCTTCTGTTTTCACCTTTACGGCCAGCAGAGTCAGGAGTAACGTCTGGGACTCCATCAGTTCGAAGAGATCCTTAAGGAGAAAGAAAAGATACTGTGTCCCTAAGAACTGGTATAAATCTAGCTCTCTCCCCCGGGAGGTAAAGAACCCTAATCCACACGTTCTTTATTTCAGTAATTTAATAGTTCGCTACTGTATAACCACCTGCTGTTTCTATTATCTTGTTTAGTACTTTTGGGTGCTCTGTGAGAAGACAGAGGATGGTTTGGCTCCTCCCCGGGGTCAAGGGCCAGCTGGAGGGCTCTCGCGCACTAGGTGCCATTCTGGAACCAGGACTCGAAACTCCCACCCCAGGGAGACCACAGCCTGGACATCTTCCTGCCAGCAACAGGGCCTGGCCTAGCACCTTCCCTAGCATGGCACCGCATACAAGGTCCCAATCTCATTTTTTTACATGATCCGCATTTGTATCTACTCCTATATGTGTAGTTGTAGAAACAAATTCTACAAAATGATCTAAGAATGTGTGTTGGTTTTGTCCTAAAAGACACGTTCTTGGAGCCCCAGACTTCCCACAGCACCTGGCACAAGGCAGAAGCTAAATCAAGTTTATCCAACCCATTAGCAGCTTCCCCCTCACTGCATCCACTTACTGGGTCCTTTTCCTGCGAGGCAGAAAATGATGTCGAATCGGTTTTCTTTGACATTGTTTTTTCTAATTGTGGAGTCTTTCTCAGCACACTTTTGTCTAAGATCAAGGAAAGCATTTTTAAGGTGAGAAGAGCATACTTTGGCAGCTTGCTGAGATGCACTGCAACCCTCAGCTGGGAAAATAAGGGGTGAAATGAACAACTTACCATTAATGGCTGAGAGATCCAGAAACGGTGGGGTAGTGCCGTGCCCTTCCAGCAAAGTGGATTGCAGGTCACTTTTGCTGAAGATTCCACTGCTCTCTGTGGGCCCAATGAGAATCCCTTGAAGTCATCACAGTCACTAAGATGCTCTACACCTAGGCCAGGAAGCAGGCAACCTTTGGACATTACCACTTGCTTCCAAATCTAAGCTTCTTGCTAGGTAGCAGAGAAGGCACAAAACGTTTGGAAATTCCCAGCCATCAGCTTGAATATATTTTAAAGAACTAGACAAGAGAGGCATTCTGTAAAACCCAAAGATGCAAGTATGACTTTCTACTTAGTTTAATAAAAGCTGCTGTGTTCACAACATGAGTCTAATACATGCCATATATCTGTTCTGCCCTCAGTCCTTTCTCTTTCTTTCTCTGGCAGCTTCTGAACTGTTCATCTTCCCCAGGAGTTCCCTTCATCTTTTAGCCTCTATTTAGAAATGTGAAATTATGCCTTATACCATCTAAAATGGGCACTGGTGTACTGCATGCTTTAGTTAGGCAGGGGCTCCAGAGTGCTGCAAAATGAACAGACGGTATGTCAAAGACACACTGTCGTGTTAGGAGCTAAAACAGAAAATGATTTCATGAATAACTATGCAGTTGAGAAAACAAATATGTGGAAATAAAAAAGAGCAAAGTCACAATAATGTGCAGGGCATGGTATCACTTGTGTTAAAATTTTTAAAAAATTCTAGATAGACAAAAATCTATCAAGAGCAGCTGCCTCCTGGGTGAGGAGCTGGAAACCTAAGGAGGGAGATGGTGATTTTTTATTCCTATGGCTTTTGCACAGGTTAAATGTTTTGTCATCTGCATGTACAGTATTTCTATTAAGAAATGCAATTTCCGCCCTAGCTGGTTTGGCTCAGTGGTTAGAGCATTGGCCTGCGGACTGAAGGGTCCTGGGTTCGATTCCGATCAAAGGGCACATACCTCAGTTGCAGGCTTGATCCCCAGCCCTGGTCAGGGTGAGTGAGTGAGGCGACCAATAGATATGTCTCTCTCATATCAATGTTTTTCTCTCTCTCTCTCTCCCCCTCCCACTCTCTGAAAAGCAATGGAAAAAGTATCCTCGGGTGAGGAGTCAAAAAAAAAAAAAAGAAATGTAATTTCCTATAAAGCCATATGATAGAACTGATAAAGCAGTCCCTCTAAACCATGGTTATGCTTGGCCTAGCATGTTTTGTTCAGTGGTTAGAGTGTCAGCCCGAGGACTGAAGAGTCCTGGGTTCGACTCCGGCCAAGGGCACATACCTTGGTTGCAGGCTCAATCCCCAGCCCAGTCTGGGCACATGCTGGAGGCAACCAATTGATGTGTCTCTCTCACATCAATGTTTCTTTCTCTCTCTCTTTCCTTCCACTGTCTCTGAAAAGCAATGGAAAAAATATCCTCTGGTGAAAATTGAAAAAAAAAGTAGTAAACCATGGTTATGCCTGAATTATGGTTTCTTAGCCTTGGCACTATTGACATTTGGGGCTGGATAATCCTTTGTTGTGGGCTGTCCTATGCACTACAGGGTGTCCTGTGCACTGCAGGGTGTTGAACAGCACCCCTGGCCTCCACCCATTACATGTGAGTAGCATAGCTCCGCACTCCTTCGCAACAACCAAAAATGTCTCTAGACATTGTCGTGTCCCCCGGGGGTCAGAATTGCCCCCAAGTGAGAACCCTAATTTTAAAATGTGGCTGGCCCACATTCTGACCCCTCAGGCTATGCCAATTTTCTCAGCTTCATGCATGATGCTCAACTCATTGCATAAGAAAATACTCGAAAGTGGTACCTGCTTCCCTCAATCATGCCTGTGTCAAGGAACAGTGCAAATTCTGACAAACATCTAAACTAGTATCAGAATACTTACAGCTTGCAGGCCAAACCCAGTCCACTTCCTGTTTGTTAAAAGTTTTACTGGGACACAGACACGACCATTCGTGTATGTATGGTCTGCGGCTGCTTTCATGCTGCAAATGGCAGAGTTGAGTTTTTGTGACAGAGAGTGTCTGTCCTACAAAGCCTAAAATTTTTACCATCTGGCTCAGAAAAGGTTTGCTGACCCTTGATCTGAATACAGTAGAAAATCTAAGTTGTAGGAAAACACATTTAATTTTTTCCTATGAAAAATTAAAATTTTCTATGAAAAATTCAAAGCTGTCACCATTTTGAACAAAGAGGTGAGGGCCAAATAACAGTTTTGCTCTTTGTGAATTGTTTTCATGCAAAAGATCTACCCAATCTTGCTGAAGAGGTGGACACTGCTATAGAGGGAGGGGCCTTCCCAGAATTCTAGATGAACACTGACTAGAACTGAAAACCAAATCCACCAACAGTGATGGTCTGAGTGGTAGACTGTAAGGGAACTTTCCCTCCTGGTCTACATGTTCCATTTTTTTATAATGAACATATGCCACATCTATCATCAGAAAAACTGAAAGATTTCGTATCACTTTGGTGACAGCTTTTAGATAAAAGATATAGGGAGACCATTACAAGGAAGACCAAAAAACCAAGGCAGTGACAGGCAGGAGGATGAGGCCTCACACCTTTTCTGGTCCTGGTCTTAGAGCTCTGGCAGGAAACAGTGACGAGATTAAGGAACTGGTGCTACAAGGAAGAGCCATGACGGCAACTTGGCTCTTCTCTGGGGCCACACAGGAAGGAAGTAACCTCCCCCCACTCCCCTGCCATCTCCTTTCAGCTCCCCCGCATGCCCCAAATCTGTCCCTACACTGAACACTTTGCCCAGCTCTTTCTTCTGATGCTTCCAAGAAAGAAAAGAAGGACTTTTAACTTAGCATATCTGAAAACATAATTCACCACCACGCTCATCACTCCTGAGCTCCACAGCTGTTTTCTACCCTCCCTCCATCATTACACACCTTTGCTCTTCTGGAGTGAGTTGGGTTTCCTTCCACCTTCAGGTATCTTCCCACTGGTCTTTAAAGCATCTGTTGCAGGAGCCTGTTAGGGAACACATGACACTCAGGGGACGAGATACCTTCCCTTCATGAGAAGGGGCCCCTTCACGGTCTGCAAGGTTTGCATCTGTTCTTACTTTGAGGCAAGGGACAGGCTTAAGGAGTTCTGACATTTAATTACATATATACAGGACATGCTAATTTTGTCAAAAAGGATACCCTCACATGCATAGAACATAGGGAACCACCAAAATGTTTGCCAGTGATTATCTCTGATGTGGCAGATTGCAGACAACTGATTTTCTGTATACTTTTTCATATTTGCCAATTTTGTAGATAAGACTATATTACTTTGGTCATCAGGAAAAACAAAGTTTTTGTACAGGTATTAATCTTCAAAACTTACACAAAGGCAAGCAACACATGTAGCTAGCAAACCATTAAAATATAATAATGTAAAAGAAAAAAGAAACCTTTAAAGAGTGAGAATATTTCAATGCACAGAGATCACTCCTATTCAACTTTGTCCTAGAATAAGAAATAAAAGGCAAACAGGTAGTAAAGGAAGAAATAAAACTCTCTTCTTTCAGACATGATTCCTTATGTAGAAAATTCCAAAACATTCAAAAATGCTACTAAAATTAATAAGTTTAGCAAGGCTGCAAAACTTACAGGTTGCAAAATATAATTTTAAAAAATTAATGAATTATATTTCTAGTAAAGAACAATTTTGGAAATTGAAATTAAAAGACAGTACCAAGTAGCATGGTGGGTGTGGTTCAGTTGATTGAGTGTTGTCCCATGCACCAAGAGGTCACCAGTTCAATTCCTGGTCAGGGCACATGCCCGGTTTGTGGGGCTCGATCCCCAAGATGGGGCATGCAGGAGGCAGCTGATCAATGTTTCTTCTCATCAATGTTTCTCTCTCTCTCTGTCTCTGTCTCTGTCTCTCTCTTCCCCTCTTCCCTTTCTCTCCCCCCTCCCTCTCCCTTTTTCCCTAAAATCAATAAAAACATATTTCAAAGAAAATAGTGCCATGTATATAGAACTAAAAAACACTTAGGTATAAACCTAACAAAACATGGGGAAGGTCCGTCTACTGGAAACACAGAACACTGTTGAAAGAAATCCAAGAAGACCGAAATAAATGGAGAGGTACACCATGTTCATGGACTTAATGACTTGGTGTTTTTAAGATGCTGTTCTCCCTAATTTAATGCATAGATTCAATACAGTCAAAATCCCAGCAGGGGCCCTGGCTGGTGTGGATCAGTGGTTCGAGCACTGGCCCGTGCACTGAAGAGTCTAGGGTTCAATTCCAGGTCAAGAGCACGTACCTGGGTTGCAGGTTGATCCCTGGCCCCCAGTTCACATACAGGAGGCAAACCAATCAATGTGTCTCTCTCACAATGATGTTTCCTCCCCTCCACTCTCTCTCTCCCTCTTTCCCTTCCACTCTTTCTAAAAATCAATGGAAAAAATATCCTTGGGTGAGGATTAACCAAAAAAATAATAAAATCCCAGCAGGAGTTTTAGTAGAAAATGGCAAGCTAAGTCTAAAATTTATATGGGAAGGCAAAGGAACTAGAAGAGTCACAGAGTTTTAGAAAAGAACACAGTAGGAGAATTCACACTACTGATTTCAAGCCTTGCTACGAAACTAACAATAATCTCAGCAGCATGGAACTGGCCTAAGGATAGACAGGTAGAAAAACGGAAAAGAACAGAGTCCAGAAATGATGCACATATACAGGCAATTAGCTCCTGACAGAGGTGACGAGACAATACAATGAGGAAAGGAAAGTCAACAAATGGTACTGGAACAAGAGAACATTCATACATTTAAAAATGAACTTCAATTCCACCGTTGCAACAGATATCAAAATTAAAAATGGATCACAGACCTTAATGTAAAACCTAAACCGATAAAACTCCTAAAAGAAAATATGGGAGAAAATCTTTTTGATCTTGGGTTAGGCAAGGATTTCTTAGATAAGACACCGAAAGTACAATCCATAAAAGCAAAAATCAATAAATTGGGCTTCATCAAAATCAAGAATTTCTGCTCCTCACAAGGCACTTAAGAAAATGAAGTCACAAAGACAAGCCATATCCTGGCCAGGCAGTTCAGCTGGTTAGAGCATCATCCCAATAAGCCAAGGTTGCAGGTTCAATCCACAGTCAAGGCACACACAAGAATCAACCAATGAATGCATTAATGGGTGGAACAACAAATCACATCCCCTCCCATTCCTGTCTCTCCAAAATCAATAAATACACTTAAAAATTTTTTTTAATTAAAAAAAAAAAGACAGCCACACAGTGGGAGAAAATACTTGCAAATCACTATACAAGGTTTGCATCCAAGATGTAGAAAGAACTCTCCAAGCTCCATAAGGGGAGCCTAGGTCAGTGTGGCGCAGCTGGCTGGGTGTCATCCCGTGAACCAAAAGGTTGCTGGTTTGATTCCAGTCAAGGGCATATACCCAGGTTTCAGCACTGTGTAGGAGGCAGCTGATGGATGCTATACTCTCATTGATATTTCTCTCTCTCTCTCCCTTCTTCTCTCTCTAAAAATCAATAAGCTATTCTTTAAAACAAACAAACAAAATACTCCATAATGAGAAAATAAACAACCCAATTAAAAAATGGGCCAAATTCTAATGGACACATCACCACAGATATAAGAATGGACAATAAGCACAAGAAAAGGTGTTCAATATCGTAAGTTGTTATGGAAATGCAATTAAAACCACAATGAGATACCACTTTACACCCACTAAAACGGCTTCACTCTTAAAGTACTGACTGATACCTTCTGTGGCTGGTGGGAATGTACAATGGCGCAGCCACTTCGGGTAACAGCTGGGCAGTTTCTTACAGAGTCACACACATGCTTACACTATAACCCAGTCATTTTCCTCCTAGGAGAAATGATAACATGACCACACAGACTCCTGCACAGAAATGTTTAAGGTGGTTTTATTCAACATCACCAAAAATGGGAAACAAACCAAATGTCCTTCACCGACTGAGCACACTGGGGTCCATCCATACAGTGGATTATTCTTCAGCCATCAGAAGGGACCAACACTAAGTGTGACGGGCAACGACAGGAAGGGAGGTCCAGTGAGCTCTTTATGTGAAAGAAGGCAGATACAAGAGGCTGTACCCTGTGTGACACTTTTTAAATAACCTTCTGGAAAAGGGAAAGCTACAGGGATAAAAAACATCAGGGTTGCCTGGGGTGAGGAGCGGCTGGCTCCATCAACGCGCAAGGGAATTTTGGGAGGTGAGACTGTTCTGCATCTTGATTGTGGTAGGTCCATGACTGGATGCATTTGTGAAAACTCAGAGAACTGGATGCTGAAAGAGTGTCGCTTACTCTATGTACATTATACAGCAGATCTTTGAATAACACTGTTTCATTATACACTTGATGAGATGCCATAGGAACTTTACTCTTGCTTACAACAGCCTATGGTAAAACTGGTTTCATTACACATTAAGTGAGGACTTACTCTACCTTAATTTAAAAGATGCAAAAAATAAAAACAGGGAAGCTCTTGAAGGTCGGAAATACTACATGCGGCAAGTAGACACACGGGGGCGCTGTAACCAAGTCTGCAAGACAACATTAAAATTATGACATGTGGACTGTGATCCTTTGTTAAGTATCACTTCAATACTGTAAACCACAGATTTTAGGTGATAATATGTCAACAGGTTCATCGATTGTAAATATACACCACTCTGGTACAGGATGGTGATAGTGGGGGAGGCTATGTATACATGGGGTGGGGAGGTGCAAGGGAAACCTCTGTATCTTCTGCTCAGTTTTGCTGTGAACCTAAAACTGCTCTAAAAAAGTCCAAAGAAGATGTGATAAATATATACAATGGAATACTACTCAGCCATAAGAAAGAATGAAATACTGCCATTTGTGAAAACATGGATAGACCTTAAGAATATTACGCTAAGCAAAATAAGTCATAAAAAGCTAAGAACCATGTGATTTCACTCAGACGTGGGATATAAAACTGAAACTCATAGACACAGACAAGAGTATGGTGGTTACCAGAGAGAAAGGGTGGGTTTGGGGTGGGGGGGATAAAGGAGGCCAAATATATGGTGACGGAAGACAGTTTGACTTTGGGTGGTGGGCACACAATGCAATATACAGATCTTGTATCATAGAACTGTACACTTGAAAACCTTATCATCCTATTAACCAATGTCACCCCAATAAAATTAATTTTTAAAAATTCCATTAAAAAATCACTCCAAGAAGCATTCTATCAAACAGTTTTTGCAAAGCTATCCTTTTTCTTCAGGCTGGATCTTAAGTCACATTTTTAAGAACCCACCATCTACCCTATCCAGGTTTAAAAAGATAGTGGAAATGAATATTTAACTAAGTTTTACAATAAATAATTATTCCGAAAATAGAGGGAGAGCACGACCTTCGCCTCAACACATTCTCACTCAGTAGGTACACACTGAAACAAAATATATAATTGGGTAACATACTGTTTTCATTAAACATCATACAAAGTGTGTTCCCATGCTGTTAAGTGTTTCATGCCATCATTTTCAATGATTTCATCATTTTCATGGTGTGACTACAGGTAGTTCATGAAGCTCCTCCTCTACTACTGGTGTTTCAGGCACAGCATTCTTCCCATAGTCGTTATCTATAACCCTGTGGGGATTTTTTTAACTACCAGCTAAGGCCAGGGACCGTATGCTGGGCACTCACCAGAGCTGCTTCCAGGACAGAATCCAGAAAGGAATGACGGGGTTGAAAAGCAGAACAATTTTAGGTTTCAACAGAGATCATGGCTTTGCAAAAGGATTCTCAAAGAGATTGGCAGCTCACAAAAGAGACATAGGACTCAGCATGAAGGGCACAATGACCCCAAAGGCAACTGGGCAAAATCCCCAAAATGCTGCCTTTGGCACCAGGCCATGCCTGGCTCAAATAACTTGTGTCAGAATTCTAACTTCGTTAGAACGCCCTTCAGAACTGTTTCAAACATTATGTGTTACCTTTTTGGTGGTTTTCTTCTCATACTGCAGGTATCGGGATTCGACCACTTTTCCGCCTGTTGGGGAACACACTGTTGGTTTATAACAAACCTACAATAGTGGTGTGTGAAGACCCAGCATGTGCCACGGACCCCTACTACCGCCCCCAGAGCCAGGTGCTCTCGGCCCCCCCAGCTCAACAGCAGAAATGGAGGAGCTGATCCCCTTTGCTCCTCTCAGATCCTGTTCTTCAGTACTCTCAAGTATGTATGGGACACCTACTGTGAGCAAGAACATTTATGGGACACTTACTGTATGAGACATCTACTATATACAAGTCCCTGGGCTCGGGACAGAGCCACAGAGATCCACAGGAGCAGAAAGGGGACTCAGGGGCAGGGCAGGGAAAGGAAGACAGACCTACCACACAGAGCCACCTGTTTGCTGCCTCCTCCTCTCTCCCAGCTCACTTCCAGTGGTCATGACCCCAACTGCCCCTTCCCCCACTGTCTCCGACCCACGGTACTACCATTCACATACCCTCACCCCACCTCTCCTAGATCACCCACTCCCCTGAACACCCTCAGCACCAAGGCCCTTCTCAGACACAGCTCCCTGTGACAGTCCAGTCCCAGGTCCCCTTCCACGCCTGCCCCTGGGGCATTGAACATGGATGGAGGAAACCCCACCTGTCCTCCCAACCTCCAGGGGCTCTCGCTACAGGCAGCCCCCACCAGCGATCACCCACATTCCTCTGTTCTGTCCTCCATGCCCTCTCCCGGACCCTCCCTTATACCTT